AAGAAATTTTTGCCTTACCCCTCAGAAAAAACGCAAAGATCAAAGGATGCCGATGCACACAACCCCTCAGAAATGGCTTTTTCAAACCCCCTCAGAAATTCTCGTCCATAGGGGGGTGTGTATATTAAATGGAATGGCCCTAGCCTTAACTGCAGTTAAAAAGTAATTAAAGTTAACTATGCTTTAGGGTATAGTTAACTGTCCAAAACGTAGTTAAAAATGGCGTTTGTATAGGAGTGAACAACATTTTTCAGTAAAACAACAATGAAAAGCAACGGTTACCTGAGATTTTCAATCGCTATTTTCCCTGTCAATGTTTCCTGATAATATAAACTCTTCAAACGCTATCGCTTTGGTGTTTTTACGAAAACAGAACATATTTTTGCACAGGACGATTTCTCGAAGACGAAGTATGGTCCATTACACCAAGAAACACTGATATATAATTGCCAAACAGCTAGACCATGGTTTAACGTAGACATCTGATCTCAAGGAAAACCTGCATTCTTTTTCTGCATTTTTTCACTGTTTTGAGTGTTTTGAATAAAATTCCCGCCTGTCACAGTGATATGAGTATCCCCGTGTTTTGTGTATCCCCTACTAATATCACTAGGGATATGTGTATCCCCATGCTCACCTCACTAGGGATATGTGTATCCCCGGCAATATGGCGGTCGTGTTCTGCGTATCCCTAAAGAACCACCCTACATTCCCACATCACTAGGGATACAAGTATCCCTAACATTTCGCGGGAAATAAAACATGCAGAACTGTACATACAAGCTTGAAAATAACACTCTAAATAGTGTGTTGGATTGTGTTTCGAACAAGATTAATACCAAAAAGATATGTTGAAAGGGGCGGCGAAGTTATATTCGGCGAAAGGTATGGCTTAGTGATGCATTGTTTACATTCTTCGAGTTTATTGTATATAGATTATAGTATGGTATGGTTAGTTTACATTGTTCAAGTATGCATAGTTTATAATTTATGGCTATTTTATATTGTTCGATTTCATAGAACTTTTCAAGCGGATTTTTTCGGATTTTTTTGGTGGTACTTTCGTATTTCTACTGCAAATACTCGCGGATAATATTTAAACTTCCTGTCATATACGTCGGAAATCAAGTAATACGGAGCCATATGAGTTAATGTTAAGAGTAATTCTACACTATGTTCTACACCAATTTATGCGACGCGAATATGCTATCTTACAACCAGGGCGCTTATATAGTGCCCTGCTTACAACATAAGCACAATCACATTATACACATTTACTGCAGCATTTAATAACTGTAAAAACGTAAATGACTTTCCTCCTGCTCATATTTTGAATATCGCATCCTTTCGCTTCTAGTGTTGTTGGTATCCCCACCGGGGGTACTTTTATCCCTAGGGATATTAGTGTGGGGATACACAAAACACGGGGATACTCGTATCACTGTGACACCGCCTATTTGCAAAATACGAGTCCACAATCATGTTGAAAATGTGTGTCAGCGGTCGTTAATCACTGCTAACTTTATGTAATTTTGTGTTTAAACGCCCCCACGCAAGCCCCACGCACAGTTAACTACGTGATTAGTTAACTATCCGACCAACTACGTTTTGTGCAACGCAGTTAAGCCGTGTAGTTAACTACAGCCATTTTCGTCCAAGCACAAACCGCAAACATTTTCGCGCGTTTGTTTACGTTTGAAACGTGGCGTTTACCGTTGGAAACGGAATGTTTCACTGCTCATGCGACGTGTTATAGTGAAAAGCCTAATTCAGTTATTTTTCATGTTTTGATGTGCTTTCGTGTACTTTTCAGTATTTCCAAGCTCACGATATTGTAAGAGCGACCAAACTTGTTTATATTCATACTTTTTGTGACTAAAATGTATTATCATGGGCTTGGACATATTGAAACGTGCACGGAGGCACATCAAAACATGACAGTTGCGCCAAAAATAGCTTAAGGCTTTTCAATGTGACACGTCACATGAGCGGTGAAACATTTCAGTTTCCAACGGTAAACGCCCCGTTTCAAACGTAAACAAACGCGCGAAAATGTTTGCGGTTTGTGCTTGGACGAAAATGGCTGTAATTACAGTTAAGGATTTAACTGCAGTGATTAACGCTAACTACAGTTAGCGCTAACTACGTTTTTATACAACCGGCCCTAGAGATGTTGGCCATCAATTTCACTTTGCACACGTCGTAAAAGCGCACAAGTTGTAACAAAGCTACAGCAGACTTGTAGCAACGCTGTTTCAACAACTTGTCAACAGGATGTGTTCGCACTGCTTGTTCCCAGTTTGTTGACAACTTGTTGCAAAGTTGTTGAGTTCAACAGACTTGTCACAAGTTGTTCCAACAACTTGCTATCGTCCTCTGCAATTCAACAATTTGTCAACAAGTTGTGAGTGACAACCTTGTAGCAACTTGATGAAATAACAGCATTGTTACAACTTGTTGACAAGCTTGCTACAAGCCTGTTGCGAACACATCGTGTTGACAAGTTGCGAGATTTTTACGTGTGTAGAGTACCGCAAGATACGAATATAATCCCCTCGAATACACGCGTAAAAACGCACAAATAGTTCCAGGTCTGCAAACAAGTTGTCACAAATCTGTTCACAAGCTGTCAACAAGTTGTGTTTGCAACAGGCTTGTCAACAAGTTGTAACAATGCTGTTAACAATTTGTGACAAGCTTGATGCATGGCATTGTCAGACTTGTAGCAAATTAAGTTGTTCTAACAACCTTGCAACAAGTGGAACAACCTTGCAACAAGTCTGATAATTTACAAGTTGGTAACAGCTTGTTCCAAACTTGTTGGCAACTTGGGACAAGCAGTGCGAACACAACTTGTTGACAGCTTGTTGGCAGACTTGTTACACGCGTAAAATTTAAAATCTCACATCTTGTAACAAGTTTGCCAACAAGCCGTCAACAAGTTGTGTTCGCACTTCTTGTCCCAAGTTGCCAACAAGTTTGGAACAAGCTGTTAACAATTTATAACAACCTTGTTGATGTTGATATTACAACATCAGACTTGTTAGAACAACCTTGTAACAAGCCTGATAATGCCATCAAGCTTGTTACAAGTTGTTAAGAGCTTGTTCCACACTTGTTCCAGCAACTGGGAACAAGCAGTGCGAACACAACTTGTCGACAGCTTGTGAACAGATTTGTAACAACTTAATTGTGCGTTTTAACGTGTGTAGTTTGGCAGTGAGTGACGTCGCCCCGTTTTTCTGTTTCCATTACAGTAAAATATAACCGTCACGACGAGACCAATGATTTAGACTGTCGCCACAGTTGTCGAGATAGAACTCGAGTCTCTCTCAACGACACTGTTGTAACTGTTGTGAACTGTTGCCTGCGTGTCGCGACTTTCCTTCCATTTGGTCGCAAAAACCTGGTTTCCATATATGGTCGTAAAAATAGAGTCACGATCTTTCTCAACGGCCAGTTTACAATAGTTATAACACTCCGCGTATTTTCAGTTCTAAAATGTTGTATCTCGACTGATGAGAAAGATCGTGACTCAATCTTTACGACCGTTACGACCATATGGAAACCAGGCTGTATTCTGATGACAGTTAAACCTGGTTCTCATTAGTCGGCGATGCTCTACGATCCATTGTCTGTGAAGCCTGATTCTCATATGTCGCCGACGTCGGCGATGCCCATTGTCGTTGATCATTAATGAGTAAAATCTTTTGATCTCAAACAATGGCATCGCCGACGTCGGCGACTTATGAGAATCAGGCTTGAGCAACGAAGAAAATGCACAAAAGGTTGTATAACATCAATGACCACCGACAATGGGCATCGCCGATGTTTACGATAAATGAGAATCAGGCTTTACAACACGTTCGCGAAAGTAACGAACATATGGAAACCCAGCCTAATTCAACACCCGTATACACGATATTAAAAACTTATCACTGTGAATTTCACATTTCGGTTCTCAGAATTCCTAATTTACTGCAATGACTGCATGACGCCAACAGCGCTCAGGCATAGTTTCACCGTCATTACAACACTTGCGCATGCACGAAGTGAACAGAACCATTATCAAGTCACAGTTGAATTTACAGAAGAAATTTTCTCGCATCCACTGAGGGGAGTTAAAATTGAAGTATACGTACAAAAATGTAAGTTATGTATTACATTGTACATATACTTTTGTATGATATTGGTAAATACTAGCTGTCTAGCTTTCCCTTCCGATTTACACTGTACATATAATCGTTGTTGTATGCAACCTGTTTACAACTTGAGTCGTACTGTGTAAATCTACGACAAGGTAAAGCGAGTTGTTTGCTTGATTTTACAAAGTAAACGGGTTGCATGCGACAGATTTAGGCAGTGTAGTGGAAATCGTCATTGACATTGTTGTCAACGCGCTTCTAACTTTGCAATATTGGAAGAAATGTATACTGGCTTTTTTACCGCATGAGGGCCTCTAGTCTTAATCTAGTGTGTTGAAGAATGTCGTGTTCATATAATAATCAGTTCGAAATAACTGTTTCAACAAAAGGATGAAAGAAATTGTTTAGATGTATGACTAGATGAAATAAAATATATACAGACTATATATATATATTACAAGCAAGAGGTATAGATATGCAAATGATATTCGGCAACAAGAGCGGGTGCTTCAGCTATAACGATGCCTTGCATTGGAATAACCTTCCCCATGACTCATGAGGCAAAAATCGCTGAATCCTCATTGTAAAAGCTCTTTCAAATCGATATTAAAACAAAGAATGAGTTGAAACTTGCTCGTGTATGATCGTGCATTAAAAATTACCGTATTTTCTTGTTCCCGTTTCCTGCTATTTTATCTTTTTTCATATTTCTTTATATTTTGTGAACATAGTTAATTCTATATCTCACGCCCCTCATGGAAATCATCTTCCTAACGAGTAACGCCTAACGGTTGTCGAGGGAGGCTAGCGTGGTTAAATAATGTTTGTGTGAATGTGTATGTATGTTAGCATAGCATAATCTTTGTTGACGTTTTTGTGCTTTAGTGCATGGCTAAGAATTCGAACTATTAAAACTATCACAGCTTGAAGTGCATTGTGTATATGAAATTGCGTATCATTAATTCTATATTTGACATAATTTTAAAGATAAGCCTGAAACATTTGAAGCTGATCACGAATGTACGTTTACGTTTTCTTTATATACGTTTCCCTCGACAACAGGAGGAATCAAGGACGGAAGTAATTTTATTATACGAAATTTGTTTTAATTTGATGTAAGAGTAAAAGAGGCTAGATATATATAGCATCAGTTTTAATTATTAAAAAGATCATATGTTGTTATTGATTATTGCAGTCCGATATATTTTCTTGTCTATCAGTTCTAATCAAACGTCAATTTGTCAATTTGAGATACAAAATTGAATTTTCAAAGCTATAGACGTTTTTATTGCAAAAAACAGTGCCCCAAATTGTCTGATGGCTTAATGCATATGCACTTAAGTTGATTATTGTATAAAATCTGCGTATTACATTTCTTTTCATATGTTTTTATTAAAAATAATTAGCATAACTTTTTATGAAATGAACCTGTAACTTTTGTCATGCAAAGTAACTGAAAATGCAAATAACATTCTTGCTTTTTGGCCACAAAGTCTCATATAGTCATGAACTGCCTTGCCATGACAAAAATGATTAAAAAAACAAATATAGAGATTCTCTCTTCGGCTTAGTTTCGCTCAAAAGACAAAACAAATACTATTAAATTGAATCTTCATATCACATATGAGTAGCGAGTAAAACTAAAATAAGTTGCCGACAAATTCATCTATAAATATAAATAGTTGTGGAAACTTTATACGACTCGAAAACGCCGTTATTATAAACCGTTTATTATGTGTAATTCAAAACATAATAAACGGTTATTGGATTCATATAGGAAATCAGTTAAGACTTAAAATTATAAGTCTGTAAATGTTAAATGACTGGTAGTATAGAAACGAGTGTTCCAACTATGTTTTTAACAAGAGGCAATGCCAATGTTTTTCAATGTCGTTAGCAACCCTTTTAATGTATCTGGCGGTTGAGAAACACAAAATAATAGTTAAATATTGTCAATTTAAATACAATTATCAGACATTGAATATTGATGCTGTAGAATTGACGCCATATTTATTATACTGAGTATGAACAGTGGTGTCGTATGTACTACCAATACTAGAGGTGTCGTACTTTTCCACCCCTTTCAGTGCGTTTTCTGAAAGTTTTTTGGATATACAGTTCATTTACTAGAATATCAAACCTCCATTCTAACGATTTAATTTTTCTTCCAATGTTTTGCTTATATCTTAGATAAAAGGAACGTTGAATAAAGGGGGGAAGGGAAGCTGACTGGTGGTTGTTCAACGTGTCTTCCAATGTCTCTCTGCATGTTTAGGAATGCTCGGAATTGTTGGAACAACCTTGCAACAAGTCTGATAATATCAACAAGGTTGTTACAACTGTAGGGGTCAGCCGGGGTGGGGGGGGGAGGGGGTCGTGGTATCCTGAATACCGGCTGATAAATATGGATAAAAATACCTATTATTACGGTCAAAATGTTAAAAAATACCTAAAGCAGCCAGAAGCTGTATACCTAATACCCCAAATTAGTCATAACATTTAAGTAAATATACAGTATATACTCGAATTAAATACCCATTAGATCCTGTATACCCAAAACCCCATGGCCGACCCTAAACTGTTAAGACGTTGTTCCATATTTGTTGACTAAACGTGGGACAAGCAGTGCGAGCACATCTTAATATTGACGGCTAGTTGGATTTTTGCGTGTGTATAACAAATTCCAAACTTCCGCTATAGAACCAGCAGTTTCAAGATGTACAATCAGGGATCGGACAAAGAGACGATTAACATGAGTTCTACTACCCCTTATCCCCAACCTGACAATCAGGACGCTCCAATGACCCCACCTGGATACCCCGCACTCCAACGACACACAAGTGAGGGTGGGTTGTACCCCCCTCCACAGCCAAGTGAAGGTGTCTTTCCCTTTCCACAGCCAAGTGGGGGTGCCTACCCCCCTTCACAGCCAAGTAAGGGTGCCTACCCCCCTCCACAGCCAAGTGGGGGTGGCTACCCCCCTCCAGGTGCCTACACCTCATTTCCCGTCCAGCAACAACCAACAAACACCGTGCACAACACGAATACAACAGTTGTAATACAACAGCAACCTGCAGCGATGGTTGTCCAGGGACCACGAGGATGGAGTACTGGAATGTGTGCTTGTTTTGATGAATGTGGAGTTTGTAAGTCAGGGGGGAGAGGGACGGGTCAAAGGGGGAAATGTCCGGGAACTCTGAACTACGAAAGGACCAAACAAAATTGGATCATATAGTAAAAGTACCACGTCTTCTTAAGGGGCTGTTCACATGATCCCTGTTTGCTGGGATTGGATGGAAGGTGGGATGATTTTGATGTATCGAAATAAATACTAGGCTTTTAAACGAATAAATCATCCCGCCTCACATCTCGTTTCGGCAAAGCAGGATTATATAAACAACCCCTAAAAGAACCGTGTTGAAAGTTCTTTTTGAAAATCATTGCAAGCAATTACAATCATCTTGAAAACGTTTCCTCAATAGAAATGACAACAAACAAAAAACGTTTGTCGTGTCTTCTGTCCGAGTAAGATGTCCACGATTTAAAAGAATTTACCATTATTTCATACACTGACATCACTTTAATATATATATACATGAATTTGTGGTCAGAGCTCGACAATTGAACTCTGTAGCTCAGTTGGTTAGAGCACTGCACCGGAATCGCAGGGCTGCAGGTTCGATTCCTGCCAGGAACCTATAGTTGCATTTTTCGCAACCATTTTCGTTTCAAATATTCATTAACATTATGTTCCATCTAGCAAGATATCTAAGATCTCGAATATTAGCAATATGTTGAACGCCATTTGTTTTGATTTCTCTCCCCAGGCCTCGTCGGCTTATGTTCATGTCTATTTTGTCTGCCGTTCATTGAATGTCAGGTCAGCGGAGCTGCTAGGGAGTGTTGCTGTGTTGGAATCTGCTGTCCTATTGCTCTGCGAACAAAGATACGAACAAGACATAATATCCAGGTACTGAAATGATATCCAGGATGGCATGCATGAAGAACCAGGACCTCTTTTAACATGCAAACTAGGGAGATGTCTGTCCCTAGCCCCCGCGTTGCCCCTCCAGTAAACTATGTTGCCTCCCCACCACCCACCCCCCCCCGTTTAATATTCTCATGACCATTGGGTGATAAATATTTTTACCAAATTCCCTTTTTTTGCTTTCTAGGGAGACATTGTGGAGGACTGTTGTGCTATAGCATGCTGCTATTACTGTGCCATGTGCCAGATGCAACGAGAATTAAACACGCATGGCATATAAAACAACCACAACTGTGAAATATTAACTCATATAACCATTCAACATATTTTCTTACTTTGGTATCCACAGACAGACATGTGGCCGTAGAAAGTTTTTTATTATTATTCAAGCGCCATTTACATGAGCAAATTTTGTGTGACATTTTTTTATGACAAGTACATTTACTAGCGTGGATGATCACCAGGGACGCTGGAACTGGGGGGGGGGGCAGGAGGGGCAGCCGCCCCCGTTGCCCTTTACCAGGAGTGGCAAGAGGGGCAAAGGTGCCCTTTCAATTTAAAGGATTGCCTTAGCGAAATAGCGAATTGTCAGAAATGTTAGTGCAATTCTTTAACGAATTTGCTTCAGAAAACGCAAGAAATGCAGTCATCGAGCTTCAAGAATAGCACAATCGCCTGGCAGAGAACCCCCTCACACCCCTATCATCCAATAAATAGAAAACATGATTAGGCGAAGTTCAACTTCCAATGTTTTGCAAACATCTCTTAGTATATATCAATTCAAAAGTGCCCTTTCACAAAAATCTGCCCCCCTTGCCTTCACATCGTCCCGGCGTCCCTGATGATCACAAACACGTTTTTGGTCTTTATGCTGAAAATTGCTTTTAATTTAACAGCGATAACACATGCACACAAAACAAGGCGATAATGCCACGATTCTGTGACAAGTTATACATAGGAACAAACACTCGTAATTGGCAATTTTTCTTCCCCACATAAAACGTGGCAGGCCAGTTTTATTTGCATTATAAAATCAGGCCAGTTTCATTTGTTATATAAAATCAGGGCAAACTTTCTAATGTATACACGAGCAAATAAAACGAATTGTCACAGAAAAATTGTCACAGAAAATTTGCTGGTGTGGACGAGGCGTTAGGGAACCCGGCTAGTGGGGAGCAATCGTGTCACGACAATTTTTTCCTGACCATAAAAGATCGTTCAAAGAAACTTTATGCCGTTACTGGAATCAAACTAAAACTCTTTCTCTGCCACTCTTGTCCATGTTTATTATCTAGATGTCTATGTGTTGTTCTGTTACGTGTTTAGTCGATCTGCATGCATATGGCAAGGTTTAATGACTTTAATAAATAAATAAATAAATAAATAAATAAGCAAACTAAGCTATTTCAACTCTGAAAACGTAATTTTGGATTAGCTGTCAGTTATCAAAGCCGTGATATGATCTTTTATTAGAGAGGTTAAGATACCCCGGTTCCGGTTTACGGGTACGAGTATCGCCATTTTGTTTAGCAATTTTTGCTGTTGTCAGCAATTTTACCCGTAATTTCTACCCATTTCCCCGCGGTAAACCATGGTCTACACGTAAACGACAAACGGGTACGGGTTTTTTCTGTTTACTATTTTTGGGCCGTTTATAGTACAAATTTTCAACATCTTACCAAATAAATAATGCACATATGCTGGTCAAAGTTTTCAACAATTTATGGCGAACCTCAACAGCGAAAGTTGCCATTCTCTGATCGGTTTTCTCACGCCGGAGTATCTTGGATTTCTTAAGTTACCAGTTATTCCCCGATTTACGGGTACGGGTACGTGTATATCACCCGTACGCGTAAACCGGAATCGGGGTATCTTAACCTCTCTATTAAACGAATCATCCCCGGTTAACCGGGCCAGCCCAGCTCCATATGAACAGACCTTTATAGATATTATGGATAGAGTAAAAAACGTCCTGGATTTCAATTTCGGTTCTCAGAATTCCTAATTTACTGCAATGGCGCCTACAAGCGCTCAGGCATAGTTTCACCGTCATTACGACCCTTGCGCATGCACGAAGTGAACAGAATCATTACCAAGTCAAAGTTGGAATTACAGAAGAGTTAAAATTGAAGTAGACGTACAAAAATGTAAGTTATGTATTACATTGCACATATACTTTGGTATTTGGTAAATACTATATCAGAGTATAGCTCAGTCTAGCTGTCTATAGTTTCCCCTGTTCGATTTACACTGTGCCGACTGTACACAGCCTTTGTTGCAACCTGTTTACAACTGAGTCGTACTGTACTACTTTATGTAAATCTATACGAGAACGTAAGCGGTTGTGTGCTTGATTTTACAAAATAAACGGGTTGCATGCGATAGATTTAGGCAGTGTAGTGGAAATCGTCATTGTTGTCGACGCGCTTCCAACTTTGTAATATTGGAAGAAATGTATACTGGCTTTTTTACCACATGACTGAGGGCCTCTAGTCTTAATCTAGTGTGTTGAAGAATGTCGTGCTCATATAATAGTCAGTTCGAAATAACTGTTTCAACAAAAGGATGTAAGAAATTGTTTAGATTTATGACCAGATAAAATAAAATAAATACAGACTATATATATATTACAAGCAAGAGGTAGATATTGCAAATGATATTCGGCAAGAAGTGCTTCAGTTGTAACGATGCCTTGGAATAATCTTCCCCATCACTCATGAGGCAAAAATTGCTGAATCCTTTTAAAAGCTCTTTCAAATCGATATTAAAACAAAGAATGAGTTGAAACTAGCTCGTGTATGATCGTGCATTAAAAATCACCGTAATTTCTTGTTCTCCCTTTCCTGCAATTTATTTCCTGTCTTCTTTTATCTTTTTTCATATTTTTTATATTTTGTAAACATATAGTTAATTCTATATCTCATGCACGCCCCTCATGTATGGAAATCAGCCTCCTAACGGTCGTAGAGCATAGCGTGCTCAAATAAAGTTTGTATGTATGTGTATGTATGTTAACATATAGCATAGCTAAGCTAAGAATTCTAACTATTAAAACTATCACAGCTTGCAGTGCTGCTCGCATTGTGTATATGAAATTGCGTATGATAAGTACTAGTTGGAACATGAGCCCGAAACATTTGAAGCTGATCATGTGAGCGTATTTTCGATATACCTATATTATTTCTATATATGGTATTTTCGAACTAATTTACGTTTTCTTACGCTTACCTAATTGAAACAAGTAACTTTATACGAAATTTGTTTTAATTTGATGTAAGAGGCTAGATGTGTAGCATTACTTTTAATTATTAAAAAGACTACTATATTGATTATTGTAGCCAGGTACAATTCTTGTCAATCAGTTCTAATCAAACGTCAATTTGAGATACAAAATTGAATTCTTAAAAGTTAAAACTAGAAGTTTTTATTGCAAAAAACAGTGCCCCAAACATTTCTTTTCATATGTTTTTATTAAAAAAATTAGCATAACGTTTTATGAAATGAACCTGCAACTTTTGACGTTTTGTCATGCAAAGTGACTGAAAATGTACATAACACTCTTACGGTGTGCCACAGATGTCACTGGAATAGTTTGAAACGTACATATGGTACATTTTCAGTGTTAATATTCACTAATCTGAATTGTTTGGAAATATATCATTCGGCATATGAAATTAGTTATCAGGTGATAGCATTTTGGTATAGACTTTGTCATTCGGCAACAGACTTTGTCATTCGGCAACAAACTTTGTCATTCGGCAACAGACTTTGTCATTCGGCAACTCTTTGACTAGATGTTTTTCGCAAGCATCACAACAGTCTTTGCCAGATTAGTTTAAATTGTAAACACACGTGGGGGACACGTGTGCACGTGCATCACAAACACCAAAATGGCGGAGACAACACAGAGCTGGATACTAAAAGTATTGTTCAACAGTATGCCCTATGGAGGGGGTCTGAAAATGAGTAAACGGTAAAAATTTTGGTATTTTAACGGTAACAGTAAGTAACATTTTGGTATTTTAACGGTAAATCTTTGAAAATTGTTCGGAAACGATAAACAGTATTTTTTCCTCACGATTCACGCTAAATTTTTAGTGTTTTCACGACTGACGGTAACCGAAATTGAGTGAATCACGACTCAATATATACGCCTACACAAAACGATAAAAACGTTTTTCTTCATCTTTCGCCGCCATTTTGGTTGTTAGTAGAATAAGGAATCTGGTAACTAGAATCAAAGAAAATCCACTTCCGCCGTGAGATCTTCATTTAGCCATTTCCCAATCGAGCAGAGAACTGGGTCTAGCCGCTTGTTTGGAGAGACAAAAAATAAACAATATGCCGAATATGGCATCTATGAAGTTTTCCTACATTCCTAAAGTTTTTTGTGCAGCTTGAAACGCAACAATTATAATAAGGCATCCTTTAATATATATTTAGCTCGCTCACTATAACTTGTTGTCCCGCCCTGAAACGTCCCTACAAACATCAACGACACCCAGTCCTCTGCTCGATTGGGAAATGGCTAATTGTTGCCGTGGGATTTTGAAAGTTGCCGTGAACATTTAATGCATGCAGATGTTGCCGTGGAATATAATATAACTAGTTGGGGAAACTTTATACGACTCAAAAACGCCGGACTTGAATACAGTTCTATGTACAAAATAATAGTTAAATATTGTCAATTTAAATACAATTATCAGACATTGAATATTGATTATTGATGCTGTAAAATTGACGCCATATTTATACTGAGTACGAAGAGACGACAGATGGTTGTTGGTGACAAAACGTTTGGTGTGGTGTCGTATGTACTACTACTACTAGTGGTAGGGGTGTCGTACTTTTTCACCCCTAGGACTGAATTTCCTGCATTTTCTGAAACAGATTTTTGGATATACAGTTCAGTTACTAGAATATCAAACCTCCATTGCACAAGAGCACAACTTAATTTAATATTGACGGCTTGTTGGATTTTTGCGTGTGTATAACAAATTCCCAAACTTCCGCTATAGAACCAGCAGTTTCAAAATGTACAATCAGGGATTGGACCAGCAGAAGATTGACACGAGCTCTACTACCCCTCACTATCCCCAACCTGACAATCAGGTTGCTCAAATGATCCCACAGCCAAGTGGGGGTGCCTACCCTCCTCCACAGCCAAGTGGGGGTGCCTACCCACCTCCAGGTGCCTACCCCTCATTTCCCGTCCAGCAGAAACCAACAAACACCGTGCACAACACGAATACGACAGTTGTAATGCAACAACAACAGCAACCTGCAGCGGTGGTTATCCGAGGATCACGAGGATGGAGCACTGGAATGTGTTCTTGTTTTGATCAATGTGGAGTTTGTAAGTCAGGGGGGATAGGGACGGGTCAAAGAGGAAAATGTCCGGGAACTCTGAACTATCAAAGGACCAAACAAAATTGGATCATAGTAGAAGTGCCACGTGTAAACAGCCCCTAAAAGAACCATGTTGAAGTCCATTTCTGTCCGAATGAGAAGTCCAAAATTTAAAAGAATTTACCATTATTCCATACACTGGCATCACCCTAGTATATATATAAATTTGTGGTTAAAGCTCGGATTCTGTATTATTGTAGCTCAGGTGGTTAGAGCACTGCACCAGAACCGCAGGTTCGATTCCTGCCAGGGACCGATTGTTGCACGTTTCGCAAACGTTTTCGTTTCAAATATTTATTAACATTATGTTCTATCTAGCGGGATATCTAAGATCTCGAATATTAGTAATATATTGAACGTCATTTGTTTTGATTTCTCTCCCCAGGCCTCATCGGCTTATGTTCATGTCTATGTTGTCTGCCGTTCATTGAGTGTCAGGTCAGCGGATCTGCTGGGGAGTGTTGCTGTGTTGGATTCTGCTGTCCTACTGCTCTGCGAACAAAGATACGAGCAAGACATAATATCCAGGTACTGAAATGATATCCAAGATGGCATGCATGAAAAACCAGGACCTTTTTTAACATGTAAACGTGCCCCCCTAAAACAATGAGTCAGTGCCTCAGTGGTCAGTTCCCTTGAAGATTTCTTACAAATCCTTCAAAACGTAGAATAGATGATTCCCAGTTATAGACTAACTTTTGATCTGGGCAAGAAAAAAATCCATCCCCACACTAGAAAGAGCATGTTAAAATTAGTAAAATTGCAGAGTTTGGCCGCGAGAAATGTTGTAAAATGAGGAAAATATATATAGCCTGCGAAATTTACAAATTTTGTATTAATTTGTATTACGCACGGGACATGCACACCGCATTTGGCAGTGCACCACTTTCGGCCCAAATGTGATGCATTTTCTCGTGCGTTATACAAATTAATACAAAATTTGCAAATTTCGCATGGCTATATTTTCCTCATTTTACAACATTTCTCGCGGCCAAACTCTGCAATTTTACTAATTTTAACATGCTCTTTCTAGTGTGGGGATGGATTTTGTTTTGTTCTTCTTGCCGAGATCAAAATTTAGTCTACAGCTGGAATCACCATTTACCGATGCGAAATTCCTACTGTGATCGCCGAAACTTTGATATAGTGTCAACCATGCAGGCTTCACAATCGTATCTGAGTAATAATTTTAGGTGATAAATATTTTTATCAAATTCCCCCTTTTTTCTTTCTTTCTAGGGAAGCATTTTGGAGGATTTCTTCGCTATAGCATGCTGCCATCACTGTGCCATGTGTCAGATGCAACGAGAATTAAACATGCATGGCATGTAAAACAACCACAATTGTGAAATATTAACTCGTATAACCATTCAACATATTTTCTTAGAAAGTTTTCTTATTATTATTTACTGTAAGCACCATTTGCATGAGCAAATTTTGTGTGGCATTTTTCTACGACAAATACATTTACTAGCGTGGATGATACCACAAATAAGTTTTTGGTGTTTATGCTGAAAGTTGCTTTTAACAGCGATAACACACACAACAAGGCGATGGTAAGTCATAAATGCCATAATTCTGTGACAATTAAGTTATCTCCATACGAACAAACACTCGTAATTGACAATTTTTCTTCCCCATATGTAAAAACTGGCAGGCCAGTTTTATTTGCCACATAAAAATCAGGCCAGTTTCATTTGTCATACAAAATCAGGGCAAACTTTCTAACGTACACGAGCAAATAAAATTAAGTGTCATAAAAAAGTTGTCACAGAAAATTTGCTGGTGTGGACGAGGTCTGATGTCTATTTGTTGTTCTGTTACGTGTTTTTGGCAAAGTTTAATAAATAAATAAATAAATAAATAAATAAACTAAGCTATTTCAACTTTGAAATGTCATTTTGGATGTTGATAAAAACCGCGATAAGAGTTTTCTTAAACGAATCACCCGGTTAACCGGGCCAGCCCGACTATAAACAGACCTTTATAGATAGAGTAATAACGTTCTGGATTTCATGACGGCACATGAAAGAATGATACGACATTAAAAGGAGGCTGACAATGAGGCCCGTTTCAGACGGCGTACTTCTCATGTGCCGAACTTGATTGATGAATTAGGTACGGCGGAAGAGCGACGTATGAATCAATTAAGTACGGCAGAATTTGGAGCGGCAAAAGTTCGACACAAGTTCGGCATAGCTTGTCGCATTATGCGAGGTTGGAGCGACATTGATCCATACGCCGCTCCACTCATGTGCCAAACTTAATTCAACTTTAGTCTAAAAATAAACTTATATATTTTGAATTTTATCGAGGTTTCGCTGGCAAATGCGCCCCGACTTTGTCAATAACATTGTATTTGGTACGCCGTTTGAATCACTGCCATTCTTGTGTCGCATCTAATACAATTAAGTTCGGCACATGAAGAGTACGGCGTCTGAAACGGGCCTGACTTAGCTATCTCTTAACTAGAATATTAATGATTGTGTGTATGTACAATGGAAATGTCTATTATTTCTATGGTATGTACTTAGGTGAAATTATTTTGGATGATGTTACTCTGAGTGTGTCCACAGATAGCAAGATGAAGGTTGTTTAACCGCAGTGGCGATCGAAGCCGCGACCTCTGGTTTACTAGAGCATTGGATTACCAAACCAAAGATCACGGGTTTGATTGCCTGCCGAGAACCCATCAGAGTAACATCATCATATTTCTGGCATGGAGAGATTTTCAAAACAATGAGAAGACAATGGAACATTGTGATCACTGAATCATGACTGGATGACATGAAGAACAGTGGGATTTTCAAAACAATGAAAAGACAATGTAACATTCTGATCACTGGATGGCATTGAGAACAGTGAGATTTTCAAAACAATGAAAAGACAATGGAACATTGTGATCACTGGATCATGACTGGATGGCATGGAGAACAGTGGGATTTTCAAAACAATGAAACATTCTGATCACTAGATTGTGACTGATGGCAAAATTATGCAAACTAAGGCTTAATTCATTCGTTGGAAATGCCATGAAAATTAGGCAGTCTTAACGGCTAAAAATACACGCCTGTGTACACAAAGTTCGAGAGAGTGGCAAGTCTATAAAAGTGCCAGGTTGGTATGGATATAATTCTTCTTGACTGTTTACGCAACTAATAGGATCGGAGGCTTGGCATATTGATTCTATAGTTCAGTGGTTGTAGGTAGTTTGTTTACAACGGCCACAGGATTCCCTGCAGGATGAATTCGTAACGGTCCTGAAATTGGCACGATCTCATCGTGTGAACGCATGAAACCCGACAAATGTGAGAACAGCTAGCCGTACAATTCCTGTGCAAACGAATTGGCATATTGTTCCGAATTCGACCGGCCCTCTTTTGAACGTTGTAAGCGGGCTATGTCCAGACCATAGTCAATAGAATAAGACGGTTAGCATAGAATCTTTATCCATATAGAAGGGCCACTTACGTCGCAAGCTTTGAAGTTTCTGTCATCGCGCATGTTGGAATGACATTTTCTTTCACAATGACATTTTCTGGCCTATAAACACGCTGTACTGGCTGGCTGCTCCGCCTTCTGGCGAGTAAACTGCATATTTTTGCATAAAAAAACGAGAATGTGAGAGGACATGAGAAAGCAGGAAGGTGCAGCTTTTTCAAAAAGGATTACTTTGACTATAAATGATCGAAAGGGCCCTGTTCATCTGAAAATATTGCTTCACTACTGGGGCACAGAATAAGGACTGGGGCAAGCAAAGGGCCTACTGGGGGTAAATGCCCCAGTAGTTATACGGTTGGAAAATGCCCTGAAGCTATCCGGTATATAGTGTAAGTCGTGAAGTTTTCAAATCGCAATTAAATCTGCTGCTAAATAATATTCATCTACTATCTTCACAGCACGGCCGTAACATCGTACAACTCATCCACAACAATGAATAACAACCCTACAACCCATCCAACTTACAAAAATAACAACCATGCATCAATTACGATTCCTCGCTACATCAACCCCGTGTTTGAAAAATCACACCCAAATCCTGGCATGGAGATGACGTCATCATCACGTGACACCAACCAGGATGTCAACTGTAGTACCACACCCAAGGTTTCAGGAATGGTGAAGCCACCATATATGCCAGTAACACAAGAACCTCAGTCGACAATGCACCATGTTCAAGGGGTGAATAATTATAACGGTGGTCGAGCAGTCATCGAGGGATTTAGTGGCACAGATGAAATACGAAATTGGTCCAGTGGTCTGTTCTCGTGTTGTGATGACTGGTCCTCTTGTGAGTAAACCTTTCTAACTTTTTTTGATGATATTATTGTTGTGTATTTATAAGAATGAACAACATGATCTCCGATAATTATCGGATACAATATCACAGATAGCATCACCACAATCATTATTACCACCAACGTCATATTATCACCATCATCATCATCACCATTCATCATCATCACTATTGTTCATCATCGTCATCATCATCTTCATCATCATCAACACCATTCATCACTGACCACCATTATCATCACTATTTTTTAGCCGATAAGTACGAATCGAAACGAATCACAAATTACTTTCCATGTAGGTTTACTAGGTTTGCTGTGTCCATGCTGTCTGGCAATGACTATAAGCTGTAGTTTGAATGAATGTTGCTGCACGGCCAATTGTTACCCAGTGGCAACCAGAACAAAAATACGCACCAAGTATAACATAGTTGTAAGTATCTTAAATTACATTGCCAATTTCCTACAACGCAAACTACAAAAGTAATAGTGTTTGAAGTGGTCAAAGATGGATTACTGTACAGTCTGCCACGCCTTCCTCGTCTTGCCCGCCTTTTAGGTGTTCCACGGCGGGCAGACCGTCTGCCACGCAGGCTAATGGTTATGCAACTGAGATGAATTATAATTGGATAACTGCACATCGGAGGAATCAGACCTCAGTCACTTCAAAGAGCAATGAAGAAAGACACCATGCACTAAACCATCATACTTTCCAGGGCACCATATGTGAGGATGCTTTTATCATTTGCTGGTGTTGTCAATGTGCACTTTGTCAGATGTCAAGAGAGATTGATGCTTCGAGTCCAGAAAATTACACCGAATAAAAACCGAGACTGTAATATTTAGACTAGTATTTATGATATAAATTCATGATATATATCCATCGAATTATTGGTAAATAAATTGTCATGAACCTCTTACGTATCGTTCTGTACATTTACGTAACCTTGAATTTTTTGCTGAATATTCTTCTCAAGCTCAATTTAACCTTTTATACATGAACAAATACTGGGTGTCCCCCAAAAGAACTAGACACTGTTTGAATTCATCAACGTAAAAGGTATAAAAGTTATCGCAATGAAATAAAGATTGTTGCATTCAGAAAGGACTAATTTAGAATTTGATATATAACACTTGAATTTACATACAATATTGACTGCGCTATTGATGTTTCAACGTTCAACTACTGTTTTTGAAACAACTTTATAATTACCGATGTAGTTATACTTGTTAAATATTTTTATTTTGGTTGTATCTCGCTCAATATTGCATGTAAATTCGAGTGTTATATATCAAAATCTAAGTTAGTCCTTTCTAACTGATCTTAATTCCATTGCGATAGCTTTTATGGCTTTTACGTTACATGAAATCAAACAGCGTCCAGTTTTTTTTGAAGACACCCGGTAAATAGTTGAAGCAAAAGGCATAGTGAACAGGACAACAATCCCATATTACAATATTACAACAGGATAACAATACCATATTATAACATATACGTAAAGACACAAACACTCTGCTATATTTGAACACTAATATTAACATAAAAAGTGCATCGAAATGAGCCTTTAAGTCAAGAGCAACAAGTTGGGTTTTAGGAACGAAGTTTTCCAAGTACGAGGCATTCTATTGACGGCAAAGGTAAATTCAAGTTTGGAAAGGTAGTGAGAATATAGATTGTGTTTGAAAGAGGAAATAGAGGTACATTTAATATTTTTTGCGACGGTCTAAACCCGCATCTTGACTATAATAAACTCTTTTATTGTACAGATATGTATCACTTCTGTTGCAACAGGCTAGGTCAAGAGAATCTCGAGTTCTATGGGATATGCAAATTTCTCTCCCTTCTGAGAGTCATTCCACTGAACATTTTGCTGTCAACTTTTCGCCTATCTCTATGGCGACGATCAATACAAAAAACACAAGGCTAAGAAAATACTTCAAATAGATAAAGAATAACCACGCAAAACCTTTTCCATGGAACAGAAGCAGAACAAAAAACCTTGCTATTCTGTAAGCTCTTATTTTATCGAATTTCTGGCATTCTGCTGCGATGTTAGAAGGTAAAACCTATGGCTATGGCCTATGCAGCCCAGAAGGCTTAATGATTGACACTGTTAAAAGCTTAATACGATCAAAAGGAGATTTAGTTTCACATCAACACTCAAAGCAAACGGATCAATTGACACACGCGACTTAACGAAAATTTGAAGTACTTTTAGAAGGCACTAAAGTCTTTAAAGTATATAAGGTAAGTAAGAATCCATAAATTAACCTACAACCTTTTTAAAAATTTAGCAAATTTTTGGAAGAAAAAAATATATTTTAAAAAGAGTTGAATATTATTCTGTACTTTTGGCTACAGTACAGCATGCCAGCTGCAGAAACGTCAAGTTTTTCAATATTTTTCACGCATGTAGTTCAAACACAAACCACGGCAGCTTATTTAAGAATACCACCTACACTGGACCTCCACGTTTGAGATATTCATATTTAAACTATGGAATGAGGCAAAATAAACCTAGCCACTTAACCTTATGAGAGTTAACGTATTTTTTTATGTTAAGAAGATAATACAATTACATTCCTAAGTTTCGTTATGCCAGATTTAAATTCTACAGCGCCTGAATCAGCCTGGTCTGTAATGTGGGGCTTGCTTTGTTTTCGAAAATTTTGCAAATTTCTGTAAAGTTTACACAAGCAAGCGTTGCAAGGAAATTTTGAATAACGTAACTTGGCAACGAATAAACAACTGTAAATACAGTTGTTGGTAATGTCAACAATAAATGTTTGTTTACATAGTCATAGACATAGTCATTTATCCCAAAGTGCTGTATATTACCAAATTAACCGAAATATTTCAGTAGTTTCAAGATGGCCAGCATTGAACCAGTGACAGAGCAGCCTGAACCAGTGATAGAGCAGCCTGAAGAAGCCGTGGTAGATGTTGCCCCACCTACTGAGGGGGTGCCACCCTCTGCATCAGGGGCATGGAGCTCTGGTCTGTGTGGCTGCTGTGGTGACATGGGCTCATGTAAGTACTTTATATAGTTTCAATATGTAATAATTAGTACTAGATGGAGAGGGGGTGCCACCCACTGCATCAGGGGCATGGGAGCTCTGGACCGTATGTAGATGTAAATGTTGTTCATGTGGATGTTGGCCCACCTACCAAGTGGGGGGGGGGGGCGATTCCCACCCTCTACATCAGGGTCATTCGGAATACAGATTCATTGTAAGAAAACTGCTTTAAAAAAGTGCTTTAAAATGGGTTTTACTACAAATATTCCTAATATTTTATTGACCAACTTTTATTTGAACCCATTAAGTTGCATCGTGCCCCAATGCGCTCGGCCTTGTTATTTTACTAACACCAGACGATTTTATTCATCAGGAGTAGAGTGCTGGCGCTCAATGGGTTAAATTCAGCTAAATATATCTGCGTTTTATTCTGAATCAACTCTAGGTTGTCTTGGCACATTTTGTACACCGATACTTGCTTTTACTCTGAGCAGTAAAATGAATGAATGTTGTTGTGCTGGATGCATCGGAGCAGCGTCACTCAGAACAAAACATCGTATACAACATAAAATACAGGTATGATGCACAAGTAATTTAAACTCAGTGTTGTCAAGTAAATGTACTTCGTTACTGTACTTGAGTACTATTTTTGAGAAGTCAGCATGTAACAAAGTAAACTTTTTCTGGAGTACTTTTACTTGGAACGAAGTCGTTTTAAGAAGTAACGTTTTACTTCGTTATTTTCATTTTGTGGCGAAGTATTTCGTTACTTTCTAACTTTTGTTTAATTTTACGTGATTTATTCCAGATATATTTTAATTTTGCGATAGTTAATAGGACCCCTACATGCGTCTGAGATATCTCGTTTGTGGCTTACTATTTATGTATTGGATTTCGTATATCTTCAACGGGGCCTGGAAAATAGACCAGGACGTGAAATATTGTATATTAGGTGCACGCATATGATGCATTATGGGGAAGCCCCCCCCCCCATTCTGTGACGCCACAGACAATACTGTCAGTTTTACTTTTTCCTTCAAGTATTTTTTTAAGTCTTTTAAGGATACTTTGTACTTTGTACTTAAGGGGGTCTTCCACCCTAAAAACATTTTTTTCAATTTAAAAGTTTTATCATCGTATTTTAGTCAAATATGATGGAATATCCTCAGCTGACGCAGGATCAGTAACTTTTACATTCGTCGTTGCCATAGTAACTAAGATAGGCCTCGCTATAGGGTAAAATATAGGGTTTGCTCCAAAAATTATGTGAGCCAAACTAATTTACCGAGGATTTTAGAAACAGCTTTAATGGACACTTAATACATCGATCTATGTCATGAACCTAAAAAAATATACAAGTAATATAATAAGGCCTTCATATTTTACTTTTTTAAAATTATATGAAGAAAGGAGTTCTTATGAGGCTACTCTTGCAATGTATATTGCTGATATATGAAGTTTTTTAGGTCCATGACATGGCTATGTAACAAGCAAATAAACTCTGAAAATTTCGAACGAATTGATTCAGTATGAACAGTAGGAGAGTTTATAGTATTTCGCAAAATGCTCGATCGTGTGAGAAAAGCGATTTTAAAGTTTTGCATATATTAGAATAACTTAGATAGAACAATATAATTGAAAATGGAACAATAGACTAAACCAATCGCATATCTTTATCGCTCCGGGTAAAATCGTGGTTTTACCCTACGAAGGTGTAGAATTTGCTGGATTTCTCTGGTTTACGGCACATTTTCGTTCTTAAAATTACACCGATTTTATAAAGAACGCTATAAAGACTACATTTTTACGTTTTTCTAAAAAATAACGAATATTGGAAAATTTGGGTGGAAGACCACCTTAAGTACGTTTTGCCTCCAGGGGCCGGTTGTATAAAGCTCTTAATCGCTTTTTTAATCACTATTTTGTAGTGATGAATTTTCATCACGTATCACGGGTAAAAATTGATCAGGTTGTTCGGCGTTGTTCAAACAGGAGTGAACAATGTTGTGCTGCACCCCGTGAACAATATTGTTAACAAGTTGTTCAACCATCAGTACTGTTGCAAGTTGTTAACATGATTGTCAACAAGTTGCAACAATGTTGATGGTTCAACAACTTGTTAACAATATTGTTCACGGGGTGCAGCACAACATTGTTCGCTCCTGTTTTGAACAACTTGCATCAACATGATGATTTTTACGCGTGTAGTTAATTCGGTTGTATAAAAAAGTGGTTAGCGTTAACTGTAGTTAAAACGTAGTTAAAGTTAACGATGCTTTAAAGGGCATCGTTAACTTGTATATAGGAGGAAACAACATTTTTCAGTAAAACAACAATGAAAAGTAATTCTTACCTTGGATTATCCATCGCTGTCTTCCCTGTGAATGTTTTCTGACAATATAAAACTCTTCAAACGCTATCGCTTTGGTTTTTCGTCGAAAACAAAATATATTTTTGCACGGGAAGATTTCTTGAAGACGACGTAGGGCCCATTGCACGAAGAAACATGTTATATAATTGCCAAACAGTTACACTTCGGTTTAACGTAGATATCTCAAGTAAAAATGGCCTTCTTCGTTGATTTTTTCCTTGTTTCCTAGTTTATTTTTTACTGTTTTGAATAAAAAATGGTTCCCGCCTATTTGCAAAATGCGAGTCCATAATCGTGTTAAAAATGCTTGTCAGCGGTCGTTAATCGCCGCTTACTTTATGTAATTTTGTGTTTAAAACGCCCCACGCAAGTTAACTACGTGATTAGTTAATCATCCTACAAACTACGTTTTGTGCAAGTCGTGTAGTTAACTAATCATAGTTAAGGATTTAACTACAGTGATTAACGCTAATCATAGTTAAAGTTAACGACGTTTTTATACAACCGGCCCCAGTACTTTTTACTCTTACTCAAGTCGTTTTATTGTTAATTACTCCTACTTTTACTCGGGTACAAATTCAAAGTAATATAGCATATCAAAATACTGTTTTGTGAACATCTCCCTTTAATAACAAAAACTGCAATGGACACCTATAGTGGCAGCAAAAGTTAGGCAGATAAGATGAGAGGCTGCCTTAGATGCATAGCAGCCATTGTGTTATTGAAACACCCGCTACATTTCTACATCTAAGTCGGTAAAAATAGACTATATAATACAATAAATAAAACGAAATAAATTACCGAATACTGTAAAATGCCTAACACTAGACATTCAATGTACACACGTAAAATTGTCAACAAGTAGTTAACCTAGGCCAGTGTACCCTACACACGCAGGAATCTCACATCTTGTAGCAAGTTTGCCAACAAGTCGTCAACAAGCTGTGCTCGCACTGCTTGTCCCAAGTTGTCAACAAGTTCTTAACAACTTGTAACAACCTTGTTGATATTATCAGACTTGTTGCAAGGTCGTTCCAACAAGTCCTATACAGTGATATAATAATATTGTTACAACCTTGTGTCGTCAACCTTGTGACATTCTTGTTATATCATGACTGTATCAGACTTGTTAGAACAAACATGTAACAAGTCTGATAATGCCATCATTCCATCAAGCTTGTTCCAAGTTGTTAACAGCTTGTCCCAAACTTGTTACAACAACTAGCAGAACACAACTTGTCGACAGCTTGTGAACAGATTTGTATATTAACAACTTGTTTGCAGACCTGTAACAACTTGTGCGTTTTACGTGTGTACCAACAAAACTATGTTTCATACTTTCAGGGTTCCGTCTGCACAGATAACCTCTTAAGCTGTATATTTCTTCCATGTGCCCTGTGCCAACTTGCACGTGATTTGAAGACGAGATAACCATCCAGTCACATTTTAAGAGCAGAAGATGCTGTCCCATGGCTGTTTTATAACCAAGAGTGTGTTAGTGCGAAAGTGCTTGACTTCTATATATGTATTTATGTAACTGTAATATTATATAAAAAAATCATAGTTTGTATAAGGTAACCTGTCTGTCAACTGGTATTTATACACAAGCAACTGGTCATTTCACAAGTTGTTTATAACATGCGAGTTCATGTCGTAATGACTACCTCTCACTGGCTTAGTACGCATCTGATTGGTTAATCGAATATTTGAAACGCATCTGATTGGTTAATTGGATATATGAAACGCATCTGATTGGTTAATCGGATATATGAAAGGCATCTGATTGGTTAATCGGATATATGAAACGCATCTGATTGGTTAATCGGATATATGAAAGGCATCTGATTGGTTAATCGGATATATGACAGGCATCTGATTGGTTAATCGGATATTTGAAACGCATCTGATTGGTTAATCGGATATATGAAACGCATCTGATTGGTTAATCGGATATATGAAAGGCATCTGATTGGTTAATCGGATATATGAAACGCATCTGATTGGTTAATCGGATATATGAAAGGCATCTGATTGGTTAATCGGATATATGAAACGCATCTGATTGGTTAATCGGATATATGAAACGCATCTGATTGGTTAATCGGATATATGAAAGGCATCTGATTGGTTAATCGGATATATGAAAGGCATCTGATTGGTTAATCGGATATATGACAGGCATCTGATTGGTTAATCGGATATTTGAAACGCATCTGATTGGTTAATCGGATATATGAAACGCATCTGATTGGTTAATCGGATATATGACAGGCATCTGATTGGTTAATCGGATATTTGAAACGCATCTGATTGGTTAATCGGACATATGAAAGGCATCTGATTGGTTGAGAGAATCTTTTGTATGTTACGTAACAAACGCTCAAAACTAATGAATATACTTCGGCCACTTCGTTATGATTATATTCAATTTTTTTGATATGTTTCTCAAGCGGCAAACAGACTTAAAAAGTATGTTCAGTGCTTTATCTGTAAAATAATGCTAAAATGAAGAGATTTTAGATGATACGCCAAAGAGAAAATGATGTCTGAAGTTCAGTAAGTTTCGCTTATCTTGCTGTATAAATATGGCGTCAATTTTACGGCATCGATGATGATTGTATAAAAATTGACAATATGTAACTATTATTTTGTGTTTCTCAACCGCCAGATACATCCAAAAATTTAGAAGATAGCTTAACTGTGTAAACTACCAGGTGCCCAAAAAAAACACTGGACACTGTTTGATTTCATGTAACGTAAAAGCTATAAAAGCTATCGCAATGAAATAAAGATTGTTGCATTCAGAAAGGACTAACTTAGATTTTGATATATAACACTTGAATTTACATGCAATATTGACTGCGCTATTGATGTTCGAACGTTGAACTACTGTTTTTGAAAATGCCAAAAATTAGCATAAAACAACCTTATAATTACCGATGTAGTTATACTTGTTAAATAATAAATATTTTTATTTTGGTTGTATCTCGCTCAATATTGCATGTAAATTCAACAAAGTAACTTTGAAAGGAACAAAAATTGCCTGTAATAGTCCCTTAATGGTAGCAATTGTAGAAGTCAAATTTGAACCTCTCTATTAGAGAGTTTTAAGCAAGTGACAAGAAGGAGACACAAAAATGCAAAAACGTTTTCCTTAGCATAGTAAAAATCCAAAATCTGAAACTTGGAAAAATGAAATTTCAGTAACACCGTTCTAAACTTTCGTTGGCCGTATTTTGAGCTGGATGAATTGAGGCCCCCAGCTTCCCCAGTTAGGTTTGGTAGGAAGAACATAGGCACAGTATCCATACCACCAGCCCACGCGCCTCTCCCCGGCACAATTCGCTGGTGAGGTATCTAGATCTTTGTCTGGTGTGGAGAACCTCTTGTTGTTGTGATGATTCAGGGATGAACCTCCGTTGCCTGTGTAAGAAGCTGCGTTGAATGAGAGACGATAGCCATTTTCCTTGTCTGCAATCTGCAATAGATAGTGTGTAAGGCCATGTTATATACGAGCTATCTATAATCCTACTCTGCATGCCGACTAGCCTCGAACCCAGGCTTTCATTCTGGGTTCGAGGTAGCATGCCGACACTTTATTTGCATAATAGCGAGCTTAAATAAGCGACGTTTTTGGCTATGTTTACATTGTATCGGTTTTTGCTTCGTTCGCGAAACGTTACGGTCCAACAACAATATCAAAAGCAAAAACAACGGCAGCATACAACAACATCAACCAAAACAACAATAATCATACCTGAAATCCAGTGTACTTTACATAGCCGGTTGCGGACGATTTGACGAGGTCCACTTTAAGTTCATGAGCTGTATCTTTCGTCACAAGATGAAGAAATTCATTCCCCCACCAAAAATTCGAATTCAGATCCCCAAATCCATTTTGGTATGTTTCCCAATCTTGATCAAAGAGTTGTGGATCTTGACCATCATTTCTCAAGAAGATTATCCATCCTCCGCCTTCATCTTCAAGGTCGCAATAAGATTTAAATTGCTGGCCAGTTGGTTGTGTGAGAGTGTAGATGCCTGATTTTGTGAGACCACTATCTCTGTAGTCTTGGCATGTTGCGACTGAAACCGATGAAACGAGAGTAAATTGACTATATTTTTTATACTGGATGGCTCTATCAGTTCTAAACTGTTCTCCCTAGAGGTGCAGTAAGGATCATCTCGTATTGACCCAGTGTTACTAGACTTACTACAGGAGGAAACCTAAACTAAACTGACTTTATTTATACTGGATAGCTCTATCAGTTCTAAACTGTTCTCCCTAGAGGTCAAGTAAGGATCACCTCTTATTGATCCAGTGCTAACTACAGGAGGAAACCTAAAGTAAACTAACTTTATTTATACTGGATAGCTCTAACAGTTCTAAACTGTTCTTACCAAAGATCCAGTAAGAGCCATCTCTTATTAATCCAGTGTCACTACAAGAAGAAACCTAAACTAAACTGACTCTATTTATACTGGATAGCTTTATCAGTTCTAAACTGTTCTTCCTAAAAGTCCAGTAAAGATCATCTCTTATTGATCCAGTATTACTACACGAGGAAACCTAAACTAAACTTACTCAGTTACTGTATTCATCAGTTCAAAGTGTCGCAGTGAACAAACCTCGACTCATAAAATATATTTATACCTTTGCTTAGATTCAAACATATGTGATCATTTTCTCTTGAAACACACGAGAATTCGCCGGGGCATGGGTTTGCGTCACATTTAGACTGAAAATGAAAGAAGTTAGTTTTCACATACACTGCTACTCATTTTTTATAAATGTAAAATTAGGCAGGTTTTTTTCCCAGGGTTGTGTACTACATCAAGATTTTGTTGGTACTACCATGCAACACTGGATTCAATAATAGTTGAAGGATCTTGTAGATGGAAATATCGAGTGGAATTTATATACATTTAGGGACCGGTCATAAAGTATTTACTAGGGGGTGTGGAGGATATTTTTTTTTTGGAAGGGGGGTATGAAGAAACCCCAGTACTTCTGAGGGGGGTACGAACGAAAAAAAACCCAACAGGACCTCTAGGGGGGGGGGGGG